GTGCGAAAAAACAAATTTTAGTTCACAATGGAGTTGCCGTTCTTGTAAGGTATTCTTTGGTTGCCATGACTAAAAACTCGTCTATTGTGAACGATTTTTGGAAGTACATATGAAATTTCCAGTTCACGGCCAGCTGTTAACTGTGTTTGAAAAATAATAATATACAATTCTTTTTAATTTTCAACTGCCAACTGCAGTTATTTAATATAACGTTTTGTAATAAATATATTTTGCTGTTTAAAAATGAGTGAAACATAAGTAATTGTAGAACTTAAAAATGAAAATATTAAGGTACTCTATTTTTCTAATTATATACATATTTATAGTCATATTGTAACATCACGAAAATGGTGGAGCAATGCAGAAACAATTGCGTTTCTGCATTGCTATTTAGCAAGGAAGCACGAGTTCGAACACACAAAGAAGAGGGCGGCTTATTTTAATGTATTAGAAGACATGCTCGCAAAAAACATTACTGTAAGTTTAACGAATGATTGTATAACTAGGCGAAATTTATTATTATCTACTTTTTCTTTTATTTAAGGATAAAGAAAGAACGGCGCAGTGTTTAGAAGGAAAAATGCGGACTTTAATGAAAGCATATAAAATGGCAATAGACAACAATAAACGAACTGGCGCTAGTCCGTGTTTTCCACCTCATATGGAGCTAATGGACGAAATTTTCGGAAATTCTCCAAAAATTAGAAATACCAATGCTTTGGATATGGGCTTCGAAGAACTGGTAATGCTAGACGACTCTCACTCAAGTATGTAATTTTCGCAATTGTAGCCAGTACTGCCATCCCCGCAACCTTTACTAAATGAAATTGGAATTGAACAAAATCCAGCGCCAAGTGGAATCGGATCACTGACTTCAACTCCACCACCACCTTCAATTTCTAGTTTGTTAACAGGAAAAGTACGCAAGCGATCAGATCGCGATATATACTATGAAGAAAAGCTTAAATTGAAAAAAAACTGAAATGGAAGAGAAACAAAAGCTAAGACAACAAGCTGTTAATAATATCCAACAGCAATTAGCGGTTGATCAAGAAATGGAGCGCAAAAAATTGTCGCTGTTGGAGGCCGTTGTGAAGTCATTAAATCCATAATTAGTTTAGTTTATTATTGTATTGAGTTTATTTATTTTTTTTTTTATAATTTCAATAAACACAATTTCTTTCTCTATTTTGTTGTTTGTACTTTATTTTCAATATTTAGTTTTAAATCTAAATAATATTTTCTCTTGATAAGTAATTAAATAGGTTTTGTCTTAAATCAATTGAGTCATCCAACTTTAAAGTATCAAAAAATTCTGGTTGATCTGCCGTTTCTTCCACACTATTGTGTTCGTCATTGTTTTCGCAAAAATCATCCTTACTTATACAAATATTGTGCAGAACACATACACTGGCTACGATGTTCGTGATTGCAGCCAAATTACTTTGTTCTGTAAACTTTGATAGTCTGCGAAAGCGACTTTTTAGCAGACCAAAAGCATTTTCTACTACCATTCGTGTAGAGGAATGCTTTTCGTTAAATTTTTTTTGGTTTTCATCTAAGTTTCCATAGTCTTTGAATGGGGGCAAAAGCCAGTTTAAACACGGATAAGCAGTATCTCTAATAATAAATGATGAGTTTGGAAATAGTTTACTCTGATTTACCTGTGTACGTCGGTATATATCAGATCTTCTCAAAACTCTAAAGTCGTGCAAGGATCCAGGTTCACCACAACTAATATTTAAACATTTTTTGTCTGTATCTACAACAGCCTGCAAACAATGGAATAGTATTGTTTGCGATTAAAAAAATCTTCACCATGACATGTTGGTCTTTTAATTGGAATATGCGTGCAATCTATTGCTCCTATTATGCCTGGTATTCCATGCTTTTCTTCGAACTTCTTCATAACATCGGCGTCAATTGATCCTCTTGGCCACATAATACATTCATCGCTTATTGATATCAAGAAACCTGTTACATGCCGGACTGTACCCCAAGTCACTGATATTGCAACACCAAAAAGATTTGCCAGCTGTCTGTAAGTAACCGCATTACTTACATACCAGATGTACATATAAATTGATTTTCTGCATACCACGCGTTGTCTTCCACCACCAAATTGATTTGGAAAGTACTCAGACTGTGAAAACCGTGCTGAAATAAATATGGTATAATTATTTAAGACACTTTAGTTTACAACCTTCGTACTTATAATGACTTCTATCGTTTCTCGTTTTAATCGGAAATGCTGTTTAAAGTCCTGAGCACTCATAGCTTCAATAGTAGATTCAAAACTGGAACATTTTTCATGTTGCTCCGGTTCTGAATCCGATTCAGACGAACTTGCACTTTCAAATATGTCAAGAACTTCTTTCACTCTATTTTCATACTCAATTCTTTTTAGTTTACCACTTTTTTCTGATAAAATAGAAAATGCCTGAAAAAAACAAATTTTATTCACAATCATTTAAAAAATGAAATTTTCTTACCAATAATTGCAAAGAATTATTCATTTTGTTGATTTTCACTTTAAATTTTATTATGTGTTTTGCAAATACAAACAAAATTTCCAGTTTTTCCAGAGTTGCCATCGAAAGTAGTGCTTATTTTATTTGTTCTTTTGTGACATGCTTACAAAAGAAAACGCCTATTATTGTAATTTACTATTATTACTATTTATCTAATTTATCTAATTCATACTGTACACTTAAAACGCGTGCTGCTCACTTTTTTATTGTTAATTTGCAACCCAATGTTGACTTTGGTCAACCTTGTACATTATATACAGTTTTTTAGCTTCCCTACTAAACTAGTTTTTTGATTGAGATAAATAAATGCAAAAACTCTTGCGTTTTCACAATTAAATATAATTGTCTATGAAAACTCAATTAATTTGCTTCTCTTAGCTACTATAGTCATTAGTTGTGCTCATAAGTTTACAGCCCACATCGCAAAACACTTCTATCATATTTCGTCTTTCCCCTTTATGCAATTGCATTCATGAACAAAATAATGTGCGTGTGCTCTAGCTTAAAATATGAAAAATAGAGATTGGGAATTGTATGAGAGTATTTTCTGTTTTATTCGAATATCAACTCCATTTATAAGAATCCAACATGTTGACTTGCCGAAGCGGTTAGATGTGCGGCTAAAATTTGCAGCTCACATCACCATACATTTCTTCCAAATTTCGTCACTCCCCTTTTAGCTGTTGCTCCAGCAAATAATAGCCGCTTTGTGTGCGAAGTAGCTGGCCGCACATTTATACGCTACAAGTGTGTTCGATTTTGTATGATCATTGCATAAACATGTATGGTTCTAGGTACAAACTCTTTTGTTTGAAATAAGTTGGTTTGATGTTATATGTGAAAAGTTGTATTTATTCCATATTGATGTAATATAAAACTTATATATAAATTATTAATTTTTATGTTATTATGTTTTATGTTATTTTTTTTTTGAATTGTTAAATGTTATATTGTGAATATATTGTTGCCTAATGCAATATAGTTATTATTAATAAAACACTTTATATATATACATTCATCATTTTTAATTTAAGTGGTACATGTAAAAACAACATTGTAGAAGGGCCGCACACCCTTCCAGATAAGGGCATGTGTCGCCACAGATATATATATATATAATTAATTGCTATAAGAGCTACATACTTTGTGATTTTTTTAATAATCCAGTTATATAATCCAAAACTTTTTAATCGTTTTTACGAATAGTTTTATATATTAAATTTACAGTATAGTTAGATTATATGTATATATATATTATATGGGTACCTATGTAACTCCATAGAAAATTCATAAAACTTATATAAGTTTTTATTAGGAAGTTTCGTACAACGGGTTTCTAACTATTTTTCTTTATAGTCTGTTATTTAAATATATCAAAACAAACCCTAAATATTATTTTCGAAATGTCCTACTATTTAAATATTGATTGCAATTAAAACTGAATATTTATCTCGTGCGAGATAAGAGCTAAACCATCACAATTGCCTTGACAGCGGTTAAACGCTTTTGTTGTCAAGACCACCGTATAAGATACAATATCAAATACTCGATTAAGAGAGATATCAAAATTTCTGTTTTTTATTATTTATAATTAAACAGATGATTTCAAAACAAATCTTAATTGAAAACAATGCATTTTACTAACATATACACAGGATGTTTGATAATGTTTGATAATACAGATTTAACAATACAATCAAACTGCAGCTTGGAAAACTATGCATATCCAAATGTTACTCCAGAACATTAAACGGTATCCCTTCAACATCAATGTGTTGATAAAGCACAAGCGACGTCAATGGCAGCCAACTAAGTTGATAAATTAATACTAATTTAATATTAAATAATACATAAATCTATAAACGATGCATTAACCAACTTTCTGTATGGTCTACTCGATCAAAAATGCAACAATTATTCCTGTGGAGAGCAGAAAACGTTCCAAATCACGTAGTATGTAGTTGTGGGCAAAAAGTGGTTCAGAGAAAGTCCCTCCACCTATTCACTTTCCTCCTGTACCACGCTCATGCTTTCTGGCTTAAATTAACATAAACCTCTAGGTATTAAGCCTATTGATCACATCTTCCTCCCGTGATTACTAGAATGAAGTCACCATTCTGCTGTCGAAATTCCTCCATTTATTACTTAGAGGTGGTTGTACTGGGTTGAAGTCTCGCACTGTGTCTTTTATTGCCTTTCACTTACTGCTCAAAACAGTTGAGAGAAAGTAAGTCTATATGCTTAACTCTGATATTTGGTTAGAAAGAGAAAGGGATGTTTGTCCATTCACTCTTAGCAAAATTTCTGTTTTTTTCCACAAAAAATTGCATTCACTTTTAAATTTTTTCAATTCTTTTCTCTATTTGTTGAGTATATTATATATTTTATACATGAATATATACATATATTTCTATACAAAACAGATACTGTATATCTATAATAGATAGAATAGAACAAAAATGAAACAACTTTTTATTATTTTCGTGAAATTGATTGGATTTAATATATGAGTTCGCAAATTCTATAAATTTTTTTACCAACCATGGACTTAATAAAATAAAAAAGTGAAAAACACAACCTATTTCTACATAAATAATAATTTTATTACCGTACTAATTTTGTTTCGATTTAGTTTTCCGTTTCGAACGTTTTCCATATATTAAACCTATTAGCTTATATATTACCAAAGTAATAAAACTCAATACAAATAATATCACCCCTAGTATAGTCAAAATGATATCTATACTATGATATTGCCAGAAATTTAAGTCAGCGCCAGTATTACGTAAGTGTAGGGCACCATCATGTCGCAAAACATACTCCAACCAAAAAATAGCAGTCTCGAGTGGAGTCATTGGGTGATCTCGTAAACGTTTTGAATAGATTTGTACATTCTGTGTATAAATTGGATTATATAACAACTCGCTTAGACCAAGTTTTAAGTCGGTTTCATTTAAAGTCTTGAAGTCAACGCTTTTCGCGTAACCACGTTTAACAGCATTTGCGACGTTCATGGGCTGATCAAAGAACCTAGGTATACCCAGCACCGGCTTAGCATGATATATAGCTTCGGTTGTACTTAGTAAACCACCATGTGTAATGAAAGCCTTAACATTCGGATGTGCCAGCACTGATGGTTGTGGGTACCATTTACTTATGTATACATTATCTGGCTTATTCGGCAGTTCGGTATCTTCAAATTTCCAAAGTACTTTTTGTTTTAAAGAACGAAAAACATTTACAAATATTTGTAGTTTTTCCGGTGGCAGATCTTTACTTTTTAAATTCGAACCCATTGAAAAGTAAATGGCACCTTCAGTAGCATTATCAAGAAATGCTTGCAATTCCTGTGGTAAAAGATCTGGTATTTGTTTAATATGCACACCGCCGACTTCTATCATATTAGTAACATATGGGCGTGGATAACTGAGGGAAAAATGTTGATTAAGCAACACTAATGAAAATTTTTTTTGTATTTCCTGTAAACTTATTTTGGCGTTAGGAAAGAATTGCTTATATATCTCTTCTTGTTTTGGTAGATAGAAAAAATTATAATACAAATTATCTATTCCAATTTGTATAAAATTTGACAAACGTTCTCGGTATGTCATTTTAGTGTCAAATGGAGTAAATACTGAGGGCAAAAAAGAAGGCGGTGAAGTATTTCCAACAACTCTATCAATAAAGCTTGTTGTGCCAAAAGTTGAGAGTCCCACAATAGGTGCATTAAAATGTCGCGCCAAACCATAAAGTGACTCTGCCAAAAATAATTCTATTATAATCAAATCGAACTTCTCCTCCGATGATTTCAACAATTTTTGTATTTCCTTATTACGAAAAACATTCGGACACATACTCAAGCCGATATCATACATTGTCATCATATTCTCCAATTTACTTCGTTGTTGCATTTCATCGACATGTGTCAACAAATCTGGAAACAAAAATTTCTAAAAATCACTAAACTAATAATATCAGATCTAAATATATACCAGCCACTAAATTTGCATTCTCGGGTATGTAAATATCACGAAAATTTTTAACAGGTTTCTGTTGTGGAAACATCGAAATAGATGTTACCTCATGTCCTCGTTCGGTTAACTTTTTTAATATAGCTGAAGCAAATATATACTGAGAGGGACCAGGATATGCAAATACGGAAAGTATCTTCGCACTATCTGTTTCCCTAGTAAGTAAGCTACCTAACACAATCAAAAATATTACACCGAATTTCATTATGTTCACTCGCCACACAACAAATTAGAACTGAACAGCTTTTAAAATCAACATATAAATAGAATATTTTAGATTGCATACGAATTTGAAGTCTCATATACTTTTAACGACAAACATATTATTTCATCATGAATTACAGAATGTTGCAAAAACTTACGGAAATAAGTATTAAATGAGCTTAAGCCGATCTGCTGTTCTCTGTTTTGAAAGAGAATCCATTTTAGTTCTACAGTATTGTCTATAGTCTCTTAATTAAATAATAAAATTTGTTAGATTGTTTTCATTTTTGCCGAATGTTTACATTAATTTGTTTTAATTTAATCTAATATTTTATAGAACAAAATATTATCAAATGGTTTAGTCATTTTATGATTAGTTTCATTAAACTGTTTATTGGATAATAAAATTAACAACAGTTAATTACATTTTAATAGTCTTATTTATCATTATTTATCATTAACAAACCTGTTATGACTTTAAAAAAAAAATATTATAATAAAATATATTAGAAGCCAAACATAACTCCAAGCCTTCACACTCATGTGTGTCCGTTCTATCTTAAACCGACGTAAGACTGAGATACTAACGTGAATAAGAAAACGATATCAAAATTATTTCAAAATCCACTTTGAAATATTAAGAGAAATATTTATTTCTTTATATGTGAGTTAACATTAAAATTAATTTTAATGCAGACTATCATACCTGTGTGTCGTTGTATGACACACAGGCATGATAGTCTGCACCTCTTACCAACATGTTGGCGTGCTCACCAAAATTTTGGTGAGCAGCTCTCGCCAACGTGTTGTGTATGATAGTCTGTCACCCCTAACGATTCATAAGTCATACAAGAGCATTTTTGCCCTGCAAATTTATTGTAAGCAGGCGGAATATGTAGAATTGTAATATAAATTTAATACGTTTTTTTATTATTTTATTGTTAGTGTTAAAATTACACTTATAAATTTGTGTTAAATATTTAATTGTATTTTAGTTAAAAAAGTATAAATTTTTATATAATATTCTTATAAAAATTAAAAAAACAATTAAATATTTTATTTAATTTATTAAATATTTTAATTTTATTTTAATTTATAATCGATGATTATAAGTAATTTGTTATTTAAAAAAACATCTAAATATGAACATCGTTAAATTAACGATCTAAGCCCAGTAATTAAAAAACGTATAGAAAATTGGTCGTAATAACAATTAATTAATAACCTAAATTTAAGATACAATACTCTGTATTCTAAATATGCTTTTCTTTGTTAAAGCTTGTTCTTAAAATAAAAGAATTTTAAATGTTAATAACCTTGAACTAACAAAAATATGGAAATTATTAAAAATCTTGAAAAACAATGAAGATATATGTTCATTCTTTTATTATTTGTATGATATATTTATGGAAAATTTCTTAAGAAATTTTGGGTCCTTTACTGATCTTTTCATTTTAACTACTATACTTAATGACCTTTTTACTTTAGATCTTATTTAGTGTTAATAAACCTATAAACCTAAAAAAAATGAATATGGATGCAGATAAAATATTTATAGATACTTTCATCCAATGTTAACAAAAATAATCGCTGTTTGTGGAATGTCCAAAGCAGTGAATATAAAGATCG